TCGATGAGAGCATAGCAAGGAAGTAACATCTGCGTGGTTTCACTTCCTGGCTCCATCACTTACTGGCTATTGGATCTCGAAGCGGAGGCATAACCTCTCTGGGCCTGTTTCCTCGCCTGAAAATGAGGTTACTAAAAGTGCCTCTCTGGTGGCTTCATCCAGAAGCTTAAATTAAATATTATGAAAATGCTTGGTGTACGCCCCGCACATAAGATGTACTCAAGCAATGTTAGCTACAATCATGACCATTAGGAAAGACAAAACAGTTTTGCTTAAAGTTATAATACAAATAAGGACAGACTAAGGAGACCGCCCTTCCCCAGAGGGGCTCCAGTCCAGACCATTCTGAAGAGGCAAGGTGCTTCTCCTCTCTCAGACTCACGGGCCTACGTCACCTGTTGACTGGGAATAATGACTATACCTCAAAGGGGTGTCATCACTGTTAAGGAAGAGGTCTCTACACCTTCTCTCCTGGGACTCGGGGGGGAAAGGGACGTTTTTAAGTAACAAAGCACATTGACCAGTAACACAGGTATGCTTATAGAGTTTACCTGTAAAAGACAAGTCAGAATACTTGGCTTGGAAGAGAATTTAGTGTCAGTTCAGAACGCCCCAGCTCAAAAATCAAACCCATGGGTAGTCAGGAGGGCATGTGATGGTGTTAAGATACAGTTTTCAAGAGGTAAAAGCATGATTCTTGTGCAACTATAAAAGGAAACTTAGCAAAGATTATATTCAACTCATTATATAATGAAGGAACCAGTAAGCTATTTAGAGCAGTTCAAAAAGCATTTGAAGAGTTAGGGGTTCCTAGGTAATGACAAGATTGATAGCTTAGGTACATAACTAGTTAATGTCCTACAGGACCATCCACCATAACCCTTGGGGTCGTCTTTTTCAAAAGGACAGAAACTATTCGTATTGGTATCTCTACTGGACAAAAATCTACATGTTAACATGGAACTTCACCGAGTCTAAGGATAGCAAGAAGTAAATTTCTCTAGATAATCCCTGCAGGGATGGGGTGGGGTGGAGAAAATGTCATATTGCCACCATATGACATTGAAGGATGTGCCACCCACCTTTCTGCCTTCCATCCGAGTTTTGGACTTTTTTTTTTTTTAAACAATGGTAAATACTTACCTCACTTTACAAACAACCTTTCTCTTACATGATGCTTACAACAGCCCTAATGAGGCAAAAAGGGCAGAGAAAACTCATTTCCAGAGGAGAAAACTGAGTTACACGAGGAGAGAGAGAAGCTGGGCTTGGAGGAGAATCCCGTTTTCTAATTCCGAGTCTCATGCTCGTCCTGAAACTCCATCTCACCCTTGCCCTTCTCTGCTCCCCTTCATTTCAGCCTCCCATTGCTCTCGGTGGCACTGTTCCCCTTTCAGACTTCCCTTGGGGTTCACTGAAGGTAAATGCTCGAGGAGGGAGGAGACCCCGCCACTCCCCACCCTTTGTATCCCAGAGGCTTCTGGTCTCATCCAAGTCCTTTTAAGTCCCCGACACCATTCAGTTCCACAGCATTAGATGAACCACACATCCTACTACCCCGAGCCAAAGAAAGTTGTCCAAACACTTTATCCTCCCCTTGGGAAAAAGGACAGAATGGATGCTGTATTCCAAGAACCCATTTTTTTAAGTGGTGGCTCCTTTCAAGCGCTTGTCTTCTCAGCTACTGTGAGCCACTTTGCCATCTTTCATCTGAGACGGCATCCACATCAGAGAAACCCACTGTTTACAAACCGGAATATCTCATTTGAAACACCTGTTCTGATTGACGTTTTCCCTTCGTCGATAAACAGGATGGTCATTTTCTGTGTCAGGGAGAGCTGGGTCTGTCTGCCTCCTTGGTGAATGGCACGTAGCGGACAAATGTCTGTTTACTGTGTTAAACCGTCAGCCAGGAGACCGGCAGCAAGTGTGCCCTGATGGCCCAAATCGGTTTCTTCCTCGCAAGGCCATTTAGTTTTCTCACCCACGGACTTCTGTTGTCATGGAAACTGTCCCACTAGCAGGATAGAGACTCAGCCCAACCCTGCTTCCTGCATCCAGTGAGAGAGGCAACATTTATAATCATGAAACAAAGTAGACAATAAGAAAGTATATGGGGTGTACAGTTAGAAAAGTAGTTCCTCTGAAGTCACCTAGAACTCTGAAGCTGGGAAAAAAATTTTTTTGAGAACATCTGATTCAGAGTATGTTTATATGAGGTATACTGACAACAGCAAACACTCGGTGCATAATAAGTGCATGCTAAGCCCTTTCCGTGCGGCAGCCCATTGAACCCTCTCAGTGACTCCAGGGGGCAGGGTGGTTCTTACTGGCCCCATGACACAGATGAAGAAACAGACTCCACGAATCACTCACTGGCCCAAGTCCAACAGAAGAAAGGGACAGAACTGGGACGAAAATGCACACCTCTGACCCCGAAGCCCAGACCTCTTGACTTGAAACAGCTGCCTTCTCCTATCTCTCTTGCCTCTGTCATAAGCTAGCTCTTGAAAGGCGCTGGACGCCCCGGTCCATCCAGCGTCCACCATTTTTATTTGATCATATAATCCTTCCCACCTCCGCCATAAGCCACTTTGTAAGAGCCCACAGAACGAGGATTCCATGCAACAGGATATGGGCCACCACGATCCAGGCCAGTTTTCTCATTTCCCAGAGGACCACCTTGGGCTGGGCAGGGAAACGACTCGCCTCTAGCTGCACAGCTAATAAATGTCAGAGTTGACACCATAGAGCCAGCCCCCCGACCCACGGGCCCGAGCTCGGCTGTACTGGGCCGCCTTGCATCTAAACCAAACCCTGAGCCAGCAGTTCAGCTCTCCCGGCCAAGCATCAGGACTAATCCCCTTGTAGGCTGGCTGTTAAATCCGACAGTCGCTAGAACAGTGCTCCAGTGGGCGGGGTGATTTGCCACTTAGGAAATTCTCCCGCGTAGCTCTTCTGTTTCAGGCTTTGCTGCCTCCGGGTAAACCTAAAACCATCCAGCGATGAAGCCTGATTCATACATCATACACCTCCCCGCAAAACTTCAAATCATTTAAACATGAAGTGTTATGGGATCGTTGTATTTCACCTAGTAGAATCCAACGTGTCAGGAACAACAGGCAAGGTTTTCTATGCCAACAGCTTTAGGGAGCAAAGTTCCACCCACGAATGAAAGTTCCCCAGCTCAGACAACGAGACGGTGGTGAGCATTGTCTTCGTTTTCCATTTTAACATGACTCTAGCACTGAATAGGCACAAATATAAACATGCATCCCTTCAAATACGTGCCACATGGCTCTTAACTCCCAAGGCTGTGAAGGTGTATTAGACAGAACAGTGAAGTGTCTGAGGACGTGGTATAAACAACAGTCACCACGCAAGAGGTGTGGAGCTGGGTATTATCTCGGGAAGACTTGGGCGGGAGAAGAGAAATATTGTGAAGGATAACTGTTTCTTCCTATGTCCTTCTTTGAATTCTGACACTAGCAATGAGGACGGCCTCACGACTTGTCTTCTCCCCACTTACAAGCAGAGAGAGTAGAGGTGTCATGCCCCACAGAGCATGCTCAGATCGTGACACCCTACCCATCCAGCCCTTTTGTACCCTTCTGCCCTTGCATACCTCCTCCTTCTGCTAGGACCTCCTTCTCCTCCTTTTCTGCCCACTCACCATGCACAGCCCCAATCCTGAGTCACCGCCTCTGAGACGCCTCTCTGGAATTCCCATTCGGGTTAACACCTTCCTCTATGCTCCTAAAGTCTGTGTGCAAGATAATAGCAGCTACCATTTGTAGTGGCTAAGGTGGCTGGGCACATTACATGCGTTATCTCTGTACCCATTTGACGGGTAAGGTAACTGAGGCTTAGTTTGTCCAAGGCCACACGGCTGTTAAGTCACGAAGCTGGGTGTGGAATCCAGGTCTCTCAGGCTCCAAAGTCCATGTCTTTCTACTACACAACAGGCAGCTGTCCTTGCCTCAAACTAATCCCTTCCCAGGAAAGGGGATAAGTATGTGTTTCTCCATCTCCCCCTAGACTGTGTATTCCTCTAGGGCACCACGAGTCTTACCATGTATCCCTGTGCCTGGCACATAGCAGATGCTAAATAAATGGTTAAATGAATCAATAGTTTGTTGAATGAGAAGCTTATCCCTTTATCCCACAAGTTGATGGAACACTGCTTCTGATAAAATCCTAGTACATGTGGTTCCCATCCCAAGTCAGCGCCCACCCCCAGTGGAGAGTCAGGTCAGTTTCTCAGCTGGCAGATCCATATGCTAACCCACCACTTCTCCAAGTTTCATGTCCTATGAATCTCCTGGGAATTGTGTTAAAGTGCAGATTCTAATTCGAAAGGGCTGAGACCCTCATGGGTGGGGCGTTTCCTGCAGGCTTCTGGTGATGCCGCGGGTTTGAAGACCCCATTTGAGAGCCAGCCGGGTCTAAATACCTCAGCGAGCAGCAGCCTTACCTGTGGCTGGTAACGAACAATAAAACCTGTCTCATGCGTTGCGCTCCTCCCAAAAGACGACCAGATTTCAAATGCTCCTGATTTTCCGTGATTTAGCAAAATATTTCAGCTATGCTTTGAGCTGTAAACATTTGGCAGCATGAACCTTTGTTTGTGCCTGTAGCTTTGGTTTAATCACACCCTATCAATAAATCACAAATAAATGAGAGACAGGAGGCACTCACTGGAAGATTCCATTCCAGTGACAAGTGGATCAGGGGAGCGGGTGAGGGTTGGGGAAGGCGCAGATGAGCCCCAGGGCATTTCTGCTGGGAAAGTTCCACCCTTCCACACTCGCCTAACCCATGGCCACTTTCCTGACTGGTCTCCTCCATTCCTGGTAAACAGTGAAGTGATGGCTTATTCATCTCGAGACCTTTGAACCCCACACAATCGCTTTGCTGGCATGCCAAGTCTTTAGAGGTCAAGCATCCCCGGTCCAAGACGTTTGGAAGGAAAACACCCTCTTTTCTGTCTCCTTTTCCAGATGTCCCTGGGCCAGCAGCAGTCAGCAAGAGGTGTGCCTTGTCTGAGATGCAAGGGGACGTGTTCGGGCTTCGAGCCGCATTCATGGAGGTAACGCAGTTTGTCAGGAGAGGCTCTGCCTGCCTTCATTTCTTGGCTGTCCTCTCTGGGAACCCTGGTCATTCTCTGATGGGACCGTTTAGAATGCATGTGTTGCTGGTGGACTGGCTCCAGGGTGAATGCCTTCTTGCTTGGCTTAATTCAGAAATGACAGAAAAGCCCTTGAGGGGCCAAGATGAAGAAGGAGTTCAGGGCTTTATAAACCATTTCCAGGTGGAGGCTGCCAAGCTCAGCCCGGTGAGGATGCTCTGGGAAGCGGTGGACAGTTGTTAGCTGGTGCCTGGTCCACGCTGGGTAGACCTGTCTGTCCTGGGATTTGGTGTATGGGCTTCATCTCCCCCTCCTGCGCCATCATCCCCCTGGGGTTCTGACCAAAGAGTGCCCCTGGGACAGAAATAAAAATCACTGTGTCCACAGTACTTAAAAGCCAGGACCTGGTATTCACATCCAAGGCAGGAGGGCTGTGAGATCCAGCTGGACTTGGACTCACAGCGCTGTTCTTTTTTTTTTTCATTGAGGACTCTGAAAACAAGAGGCAGGGCTGCCGCTCTGCACAATCCCCGGGCACTATTCACATCAGCGTCTGTGTGGATCGTATGCCCTGGAGGTGTGCAGGGCACAGCCTGGGGGACCGTCCCTGCAGCCCTGGGAGAGAGAGGCTAAGCCCTGTAGGGCACGAGAGCTAGAAAGGAGCTTTTTGTCTCCACTGCCAGAGGGTTGCCTTGGGCACTCAGTGGAAAAACAAAATTGGGGAGATGTTTGTCTCAGAGAAGTTGATTTCCACTGTGAGATAGCAGTTACCAAAAATACTTATTGAGCTGAGCTAAGTCTTTTCTACTTAAATGCTAAAATAACCCTAAGCAGGAGGTACTAGTATGTCCACTTTACAGATGAGGAAACTGAGGGTGGGTAATGGGGGAACGGCGACCAGAGGGCAGAATTCGGACTCAGGTCTGTATGAAGCCCCATCCCACACTGTCAACCATTCTGCATGCAGTACTGGGGTCCAGGCACAAGGTTGTTCCTTGACGCTATTCCCAGGCAGTCCCCACTTCGGAGGAGCCAGGGACCGTCAAGGTCATCCAATCCCAACACCCGTCCCCTGCACAAATTCCTCCCACAGCTAGGATGTCCTTCCAGGACGAAGAGCTCCCCACGCATCTACTTTGGCCACTTGAGCTCTTTCTGGCCTTGAAAAGAGGCTGCCTCCCTATCATTTCACCCCGTTGGTCCTGAATCTGCCACCAGGGTGTCAGAGAACAAGGCTGGCCCCTCATCAGCTCTCTGAAGACAAGCGAGGATGCCTCCCTCAAGAGTTCTTGGAGCTGAGGGATAATGTTCCCTAAATGCACACATGGCGTCAGTGCAGTAATGTTTCCATTCTCTCAAGGACCACAGTCCCGCGCTGCTGTCTGGCATCTGAAAATGGGTGTTTGATATATTTTGTCTGGTTTCCTAGTTGTTTATGGCAGCAGGGCAATTCTGGACACTGTTCCTCTCGGCTAGGAGCAGAAGCCTCTCAGCATTGTTTTCATCCCATTTCCTCAGCATCCTACAAGTTCTTTGAACGTCAAGCGAACTTGTCCTTGAGAAACACAGACTGCAGCTTTTAGGTCCTGCCCATCCAGTGTCACCTTGGAACAACCTTAATAGGGACCTAAATTTGATGCTTCGTAGATCAGTGAGGTCGCAGAGCCTTAGCAGGGAAACCGTGTCAAACCGTTTTTCTGCTTCAGTTCTCATGTTCTCAATAGTTTGAAAGATATTTAAAGGGTCAGAGTGGCAGCCAGTCTGGTTTCATGGGAAAGTTTCCTAACTAGTAATCACAGGACAGAATTCATGTGCTGACTCTGCTTGAATAAGACACTTCCCTTCTCTAAGCCTCAGATTTCCCATCTGAAAAATGGGAAGGTTGGAGCTGGTGGGCCCAAGGATCCCCTTCCAGCTTTACAATTCCATAGTTTCAGGCAAACTGTCTGGAATCCAATTACGGATTCACACGGTTGGTAGAATTAGAATGGTCTTCATATTCGCAGCACAGAATAAGTAGAATTACTTAGAGAGGAGGGTACAGAGTGAAGACAAAAGCAGACTTTCAGAACAAACATATCATGGAAATGGAAGGGGAGGTCCCCCCAGCAGCCTTCAGCATCCCGCTTTCCAAATGGCCACGCCGGAGTCCCTGCCCGCAGGGGCCAACCTCATAGGATGCTGAGCTGCCATACACGGCAGAGGGAAGCGGGCCTCCAGAAGGCCAAGCTTTTCAGAGAGAGCCCAGGGCAAGGCTTCTTCCTCGCATGCAGAGACTGGTCATCATCACCATCATTCTAATAGCTTTATTTTTTAAAGGCACACCAATTTCAGTGGGTAGAGGGAAAAAACCTGATCTGAGGGAAGCAGGGGACATACTGTGAAAAATGGAAGGGAGACCACTGGCTCTGCAAATTACAAAATTTTACACCCTTTGGGGGTGTCTCTGGATAGATTCCCCCAATCTCCTCATCGCGGCACCCCTTTGATGTTAATTCTGCTCCTCTCACCAGGGTCAGGATCTTCATAGGTGGCTGTGCAGTAATACAATAGCTGGGCTTCCTGTGCTTTTGGAGTGACAACCTATAGAAAGTCAGCCTGAGGTGCCTAAGTTCCTGAAAGGGACATACTCATGCCTCTCGCGCTTTGGGGTGCATGAGAATCCCCTCTGGAACAGGGTCGCGAGTGCCCGGACCCAGATCGCACTCCAGACGCATGTATCTAACTGGCGGGGGCCGAGCGGGGCATCCCCAAGTTAACACAGCTCCCCAGGTGATTTGGGCGTGCAGCAAAGCTTGAAAACTCATCAACTAGATCAAGGGTCAGCAAACTTTCTTTAAAGAGCCAGATAGGGCTTCCCTGGTGGCGCAGTGGCTGAGAGTCCGCCTGCCGATGCAGGGGACACGGGTTCGTGCCCCGGTCTGGGAAGATCCCACATGCCGCGGAGCGGCTGGGCCCATGAGCCATGGCCGCTGAGCCTGCGCGTCCGGAGCCTGTGCTCTGCAACGGGAGAGGCCACAGCAGTGAGAGGCCCGCGTACCGCAAAAAATAAAAATAAATAAAGAGCCAGATAGTAATCGTTTTCGGCTTCACAAGCCACATGGCCTCTGTCACACCTATTCAGCTTGGCCCTTGTAGCAGGAAATCATCCATAGACAGTACGTAAATGAATGAATGTGACTGTGTTGTAATAAATCTTTATTTAGGGACACTGAAATTCAAATTTCTCATCATTTTCATGTGTCCCAAAAGAGTTCATAGGCCATATAAAAAGAGGTGATGGACTGGATTCTGCCAGTGGGCTGTAGTTTGCCAACCCCTGATATAGACCAACCCTCCCATTTTACAGATAAGAAACTTGCCAGGGGTCTGTGGTGGGCTAGTGTTCAGGCTGGGATTAGAGCCCAAGGCCATGCCATTTCCATAATTCCAGGTTGCCTATGACAGATTGCAGAAATGGCTGTTGTGACACCACTGAGGATCTTTCCAGATGTGTCTGTGTCCCCTGCAATCTGGGTGCCTGGAAAGAGTGAGGTGGGACCAAGGGGGTGTCCGCCTCAGAAACGCGTCTGGTGACATGAAGAGCATGAAGAAAGGAAAAATAATGTGGACACAATCTCAAAGAACATCTATTTGTCAGCATTTTGCATTTCAAAGCGTTCTGCGTTCCCAACGCCTCGCACAGCATCCTGAGCGTCTACATGGACCAACAGAGCAAAGGGCAGCTTCCTCCCCCACTTCCACGTGTGGAAGGTTTGGGGACGTCAGAGGACCCGGTGGGACACTGGGCTTTCCTTCACTTCCTTCCTCGTCTTCCTCTCTCCGCTTCCTGCTCTGCTGCTGCCTCCCTCACCCCGCCCCATAAACCAAAAGTGCCCTCACCTGTCTTCTTAAAGAATCAGTTTCCTCCATGACTGGCTCATACAGAATATTATTGGGTCATGAATAAAATGCCCCAGTTCCATAAAACAAGCAACCCGTTCTCATGAGCACGAAAAGAAAAGCCTTCTTGCATTTGCCCTGTACCGTTTTTAGGGTCCTATTCATCTTGAGAGATAATTTCTCTGGAATTATCATTGAGATCTGCGATTTTAACATGTCTCAAATGGCAGCCCACTGAATGTGAACTTGGACTGGAAGCTTCTCCTCAAATAACGCTGGAAATGCTGCCTTCTCTTCCCCTTAATGTCACACTGCACACCCGTGCGTTAAAAACAAGAAGCAGCCTTGCACTGAAGAAATGCGTTTAACCTTCTGTAGCCTGCTGACCTCCATCACCGCTGAGCCCTTTCCCTGGGCCACATCCTGACCTCCTGGGGGAACTGGTCCAGGGAGCAGAACCGCCCCCCCACCCAGAGCATCTGCAACTCCCACGTGGCCCAACCTGATTCTACCTTATGTCATGGTTTCCACCTGATTTTCTCTCCCTCTCCCACCCCAACTGCAGTCTCCTTGAAGGTTGTGATGGGGCCTCCTTCTTTTCATATTAGACTAGGATTTCTCAACCTCAGCACTACTGACATTTGGGACTGGATAATTCTTTGCTGTGGAGGGAGCTGTCCTGTGCATTGTAGGATGTTTAGCAGCATCCTTGGCCTCCACACTATAGACGTCATAGCACCCCATTGGGACTATCAAAGGTGTCTCCATACTCAGTCTTAAAAAAGAACAAAATAGGGCTTCCCTGGTGGCGCAGTGGTTGAGGGTCCGCCTGCCAATGCAGGGGACACGGGTTCGTGCCTCGGTCCGGGAGGATCCCACATGCCGTGGAGCAGCTGGGCCTGTGGGCCATGGCCGCTGAGCCTGCGGGTCCGGAGCCTGTGCTCCGCAACGGGAGAGGCCACGGCAGTGAGAGGCCCGCGTACCGCAAAAAAAAAAAAAAAAAGAACAAAATAATGCCATTTGCAGCAACATGCATGGACCTAGAGATTGTCATACTGAGTGAAGTAAGTCAGACACAGAAAGACAAATATTATATGATATTGCTTATATGTGGAATCTAAAAAAAGGGTACAAATGAACTTACTTACAAAACACAAGTAGAGTCATGGATGTAGAAAACAATCTTATGGCTATCAGGGTATGGGGGGTGGAGGGATAAATCGGGTGGCTGGGATTGACATATACACACTACTATATATAAAATAGATAACTAATAAGAACCTGCTGTATAGCACAGGGAGCTCTACTCAATACTCTGTAATGGCCTATATGGGAAAAGAATCTTAAAAAAAAAAAAAGAGTGGAATATGTATATGTATAATTGATACACTTTGCTCTACAGCAGAAACTAACACAACATTGTAAATCAACTATGCTCCAATAAAAAGTTTTTTTAAAAAAAGTGTCTCCAGACATTGTCAAATGCCCCCTGGGGACAGATCTGACCTTGGCTGGGAAACACTGATGTAGACCATCAAGGCATGCGTCTGGTAGCCCCACAGTCAAAATTTGTACTAAATGATTAAATGCATCAGGCTCCTGAGTTTAGAAAAGAAGGGTTCCTCCAGGCAGGCCTGGCTGTGAAGCACCCACGCAACTGCCCTGACATGTCTCTGGCTTAGGCCTGCCCCATCCCGCGGTAGGTCTTCATGTAGCTCACTTGACCTAACAAGCTCTAAATCGCGTGTGTTCCAGCATCTGAGACACAGCACGCCTAAGGGGACACGGCCAGGAAGGGAGGGGAGCGGTTTTCCTCTCACACTGGGAACCCTCTGGATATCTAAACCTTAACAGCAGGACACAAAGCAGCCAACTGCTTTTGTTTTTAATTGTCAGAGGGAAGTGTCAGGCCTCAAGTCACTGTGAAGCTTCCCCGGGACGCTTTTTCTTTTCCCAGCCCCAGGACAAAGCCTTGGCAAGGGACATCAATCTCTCCAGCCCGAGGGGTTTCCTAAACTCATTCCCTTCCCCCCAGGTCCTGTCCACCAGTTTCCTGAAGAAAATTTCCAGCTGTATTTTAACTTCAGGATGAGTGCTAAAGAGTTTACAAGTTGCTGAAGCTCTGAGGCTCATGAATCTTGGGAGACAACTTCAATAATTCTTTAGAGCAGGGATCAGTAGACTTTTTTTTAATAAAGGGCCAGAGAGTAGATATTTTAGGTTCCATGGGCCACGTGATCTCTGCTGCAATTACTTATCTGCTGTTGCCGCCCAAAGACAATATGTAAATGAATGGGCACAGCTGTGTTCCAATAAAACTTTATTTACAGAAGCAAGTTGTGGGCCGCGTTTAGCCCACAGGCTGTGAAGACTCCTGCTGTAGAACATCTCCAGTGATGAACCAGCCTTTGCCACCCCAGTGACCAAGAGGAAAAATGTGCTGCTCTTTTTACCCACAAAAGTCATACCCACATTCCCCACAGATAGATAGGAAGACGTGAGTTTCTGACGTCAAAGGCCTTTTGGGCTCCGGTTACCATTTGTCTGCTGCTAACCTTTTCAAGTTACTAAAGTTAAACTTTGAGCTTGCTTTCCAAAGCGTAGGTGCTCCAGCGGGAGATTCTGCCTCTCTTTTCTGGAGGTTGATCTCACTTGTCCCCATCCCACCCCCCAGGAAAATGTGCAAGTCATGCAAATGCAGTCAGGAGGACCACTGCCTGAGCTCGGACCTGGAAGACGATCGGAAAATTGGCCGCTTGCTGATGGACTCCAAGTATTCCACCCTCACGGCCCGAGTGAAAGGCGGGGACGGCATCCGGATTTACAAGAGGAACCGAATGATCATGACCAACCCCATTGCCACCGGGAAAGATCCCACTTTTGACACCATCACCTATGAGTGGGCTCCCCCTGGAGTCACCCAGAAACTGGTAAGAGAGCTTCCTGCAACCAAGTGGTTGTTTCCCTACCCTTCCTTGTAAATAGGAGCCATGCCATAGGTTCCTGAATGTCAAAGACATTCAAAGGTAAGAAGTGGGCCAGTTTGCAAAAATGGTAGGAAAATAGCTTTGGTTTTGAACCTGCTCCTGCCCCACTCCGTGATCTTGAAGTGAAAACTGTCTGGGCCTCAGTTTTCCTCATCCATGAAATGGGTAGAGGTGTTCACGTGAATTCTAAGGGGCCCTTTCAGCTCTAGTACAGGGCTGCTCATGGTTCCCTTTAGGTTCCCCACTTCTGAACAGAGGATGGTTCATTGTTCAGAACTCTCAGAGTGCTCATGTTCATCCGTAAGTTCCTCATTTTCCCTCAAAGTGGCCTGGGATGTGCCCTTTGCAAGTCTCGGGGAGAGCACAGGAACACTTGTCTCTTCTCCCTAACTCCTGGGCTTAAAAGAGAGAAGTAAATTGGCTTTACACAACCCTAGGGAAGAGGCACCCAGAGAAGGACAAGGCCCAGAGAGAGCAGGTGACTTGCACAAGGTCACCCCGTGGCTGCCCACTAAAAGGACCCAAGAAAAGTCCCCATGCACAGGCCTCAACCCAGACCATTAAATCGGAAGCTCCAGATTGCAGGATCAGAATTATCAGTCACGAGTATTTAAACGAAGCCCCAGGTAATACCCCATGTGGGCCCCCTTCAAGACCCAGAGCAGTGGACCAGTGCCCCTCAAATTTCCACAAGCATAAAAGCCATCTGGAGAGCATGCAGAAACACAACGAGTAGGCTTAGGGCCGTTCTGAGGATCTGCAGTCCCGCCAAGCTCCCAGAGCACACCTGGAGTAGCAAGGACCCAGATGATTTCTACAGGTTAGTGAGATTAAAAAAACCCTACAGTGTTAGAGATGCAAGCCTGACGTTGAATTCCATCTCTCCTGGGAGAAAAGGAGAGCCTTTTGAGACCCGTGTGTCCCTGTCCCTGCGGGCTCCCCCCACAGCTCCTGCTACGCCCCCTCACTGAGTACCTTGCATGGCAATGACCTTCCACCTTCCTGCCCTGGACCACTCTACGGCAGGCCTGGGCTCCCTAGGCTCTTGCCCTCCTCGGGGACTTTGCACATGGTGTTCCCTCTCCTTGAAACATCCTTTCCCGGTTCTCTTCATGGCTGGCTACTTCTGCCAGTCCTATCTCAGACAGGCCGTCCCTCACTACCCAATCTGTGGAAGATGTCACCCATCCCTCTACTACATTTCTTCTCTCTCCCAGTTCTCCATGGTTTCTTTAGAAGCTCTTATTTCGAGCTGTCATTGTCTCATGCGTGTCTGTGCTTCGTCATCACCTCTCCCCTACACTGGAGTGAAGCAAGGCCCACGAGAGCACGCGCATGCCTGTCCTGTGTACCATCTCATTCCTCGCCTTACACTGCACAGGGCAAGCAGCAGGCTTGAGGCGTATTTGTGCCACGTCGCCTCCCAGCCAAGGACATTCCACGTGTGGTCTGGGGACTGGCACTGCTACACAAAATCCTTGTGACTGGTCCCCAATCGGAAGCACAGAGATTGAGAATAAATGTTGGGAAATTTTTGTGGCACTTGACATCCAAGTGCGTGATGGCTGAGCAGAGCTCCTGCGTGGTCAGCCTCACGTGGAAATCTCATGTGGCCTGAGCTACATTCTCATCACATGCACTGAGCCCACAAATCATCCTGCAATCCGTGGAAAAAACACCAAACAAATCTTGATCCTTCACCATAGAAGGTTCGAGCAGCACAGTGCTAAGCTGGAGCTTAAGAGGGGGAAAAAAATCCCTTCTAGATAAAGCGAAGAGAGGCAAAGTTTTTTTGTGTATTTTTTTAAAGCTTTGCTTTTTGAGAAGCATATTTTAAAAGAACACTTCAGCCTGCATGAGCTCAGCCACCCTGTGAGGTGAGGGTTAGTTTACATGTGAGGAAACACAGAATGCTGAACTGGACTTTGACAGCTCCAGTGGGTAGGCAGGGGCAGGTCGGGGGCCACGGAGGGCGGCACGGAATAGCAGCAGTGCCAGGCGGTTCCGAACGCAGGTCTGCCCTCCAGCACCCGGGCCTGGGTGAGCCATCAGTGGGTCTCCAAGATGTGAGTGGAAACTAAAGCAAGCAGCTCATAAAAGAGCCAGCCGTGGGCGTCAGGAACTGACTGGTGAAAACCCCAAACGCTTCAGCCCCAGTCTAATCAGAGGAAGGCATCGTCGGGCCGTGATTAATGCCGGCTCATAAAACCACATGGGATAAAGGCCGCTCTGTCTGCCCTGCGTCTGGCCTGCCCGAGCAAATCACATTTCTGAGATTGGACGACTTTCTTCCCACTCACCCTTCCGACTTTTTTTTTAATTACCAAGTGATCGGGACTGATTATATTTTGGAAATGGAACTGAATCTTGCTGTCACCCTTCCCAACCAGAATAAAAGCCAGAGAAATGCTTCAAAGACTAAAGTCTTCAAAGACTAAAGTCACAATAAACCTAATTGCTAGTACGTATTCAGTACTTACTATGAGCCAGGCACTACGCTAAGAGCCACACATGCACGATCGCATCTGATTTTCCAACACTGTTAGGGTTGTACTATTATTACCCTCATCTACAGAAGAAGAAACCGAGGCTCAGGGAGGTGAATGGGTCTTTGAAAGCTAGCCGGGAATTTGTGGGGAGGCAAGACGGAGAAGATGAAGGGAACCAGCATCCATGGAGTATTTGTATGTGAAGGATATCAACACCTCACCACTCCCTGTGCACTGGATGCATTACTGCCCCCATTCTACAGGAGGGCAAACAGAAGCTGTTGAGGAGCACATGCAGGGCTGGCATTCACTCGTACCCCATCCTCTGCTCCCTTACCCGTGGCAGTCAGCGCACTGTCTCCCACTGAGCCCTCATTGGGCCTCAGAATCCTACTCAACACAGCACTCCAGGCTGCCATGATTGACCAGGATTAACGTGTAACGTGAAGCCCATTTGCTCTCTTTGTCTGACAGCTGGAGAAGAATCAGGAAGCGCAGAATCAGGACTGGGTTTTCTGATTCCAGAGTCTGTGTGTGTCCCACTGCCCAACCCTGGGAAAAAAAGCATCCTTCTCCTCCACTTTTCTCTCTGCTCTTTTGATTTCTCTCCTGAAAAAGCCTGGTTCCAGGAACCTCTTCACCCAGTATGGCTGTGCCAGACAGCAAAGCACCAAATGATTCAGAGCGTTTCTCACGAAAAACTTAAAACCTAAACCAATCAATCTTTCCAACTGATCCTAGAAAAGGCATCTTGCTAAAGGTTTTGGGAACATGACCGTAGTCGGCTTCGTGGAGAAACACCTGAGAGCTTCTCTTGCAGGCTCTGAGCACCACCGGCAGCTCACTCTGACCCGGCCTCCCTCCCCATCTTCCCCTTCCCGAGTCCATGCCAACTGATCGTGATTGCCTGAGGGCTGCCTTGAGGTGGGTTCTGAGACCCTCATCGAGGTTGATTAGCAATGTCTGCCATCAGCGTGTGGCTCGGGAGTGTGGGAGGGGCCTCAGGCCAGCCAGGCAAGGCCAGCCATCACGAAACACATGCCCGTGGTAGCCAGATGCTGGGGCCTTGCCAGAGCAAAGGCAGAGAGCCGGTACCCAGCTGGGGCTTTGAGGACAGTGTGAGTGCAGGCGCAACCTCGACCACAGGGCTGGCTTATAAAGTCGGGCAGGGAGGGGTTTAGGCCCTCGAAGACCAGAGCCACACACAGATCCAGGGACTACAGCCTCCTGGCACCAGGCAATGCTTCCACAGCCCCCTCACCCTGAAATGATGACAAAAGGAAACTCCCCCAGAGATTGGGGGACATTTCTTTTCTCTTTGCAAATCATCCAACTTGTAGATAGTCGGTATAGAAGAAGTCAAGACCCAAGCTGCTGAGTTCAAAGCTGTCTCTACCGCATACTAGCTGTGTGACCTTCGGGAGGTTACTTAACTTCTCTGTGCCTCAGTTTCCCAAGGGATAATATTAGTACCTTTCTCCTAGGGGTGTTGTGAGAATTAAATGGGTTAACATAGTTCAGACACTTAGAAGAAGGTCTGGAACGCAGCGAGCAGCACGTAGGTGTTAGCTGTCCCTACCGTTCCTCGTACCACTCCACTGGGGGAAGAAAGCAGCCTTCCTAGAAGAGGCTGCTCTCCCATCAGCCGAATCCTCCATGCGACCGGGGCTGCTTCAGCACTCGGAGTAAGTGAGATACTGGCCAGGTCTGGATACCCATTCTGCCAGCATGAGCAAAGCTCTTGTTTCCACTGCTGCAAAATCCTTCCTGAGATTCTAGGAGCCGGGCAGGCCCCAGGCAAGGAATAGGAAGGGCTGGCGGGGGTATTTCCCCTGCCCCGCCCCTGCTGCATCTCCCCAGGGTCCTGTGCCCTACCGTACCCTCATCCATCTCCTCAGGGCCCTGTGCCCCACCCCAGCCTCTTGGCTGTTGGGCTGCTGCTTCCCGTCCTCTGTTGGTCCCATCCCTTCCCCCACCCACTGCCCTCGGATGTCCTACTTCAGACTCCCCCAGGAGGACCTATACAAGCACTCACTTCCAGGCCCCTGCAGGCTCCTAAAACAGAGCGGGCCTGGGAAGCTCTCCCACAAGGTCGCCAAGTGAGTCCTATGCACCGCAAAGTTTGAGACAAGGGTCTTCAGATCTACCCGTCTGGCCTGTTCTCGTCGGAGGCCACCTGCAGTTTCACACTGATCAAGAGAAAAGCCACGGTCTTCCCAAGACACAGCAGGAATCAGCCCCTGCCAGACGTGTCGTCAGCTGGGGGACCCCCCGGGGCTTCTGGTTCTTCTGAGTGTTGGGTGAAGGGCCTGGGACTCTTTGGCCAGCCAGCCTACTTTGGACCCTTTTCGGGGCTGCGGACTCGGCTGAGTGACACTGCTCTCCTCTTACTTGTGAGGAAGATCAAGTGAGGTGGCCACTGACTTCTCACAATGGCCCAGACCCTAACGATCATGCTTTCTACCCTGAACTTTGCAGATCAGGAAACAGAGGCCCAGAGAGGCTGGGTGCTTTCTTGATCTTACACAGAGAGCAGCAGCAGGGCCGGAGCTAGAAACCCAAATTTCCCGGCACCCCAGAATTCTGTGCACCACCCAGGCCATTTCCTGTGTCTAGAAGGTGCCCTGAGAGTATGAGGGGCTGTGCAGAGGAACAGGGACGGAGAGGGTATGCGTGAGCCCGCAGGGCCGGGAGGTCTCAGCCGGGTCCCCCGGGATCCAGGGCTGAGCCGCCGAGGGTGGGGCCCTCACAGCCCCCCTCAACTGCATTCCCACACCTGCCTCTCCCTGTTCTAAAAAAGCTCTTATCCGGAATTCATTTATTATGAAATTCAGCAAACCAGGCTCTGGAGTAGCACCCCCCACCCCCAGGTTCTCATACCCTGTTCCCTACAGACAGGCCGCAGCTGGGACTGTCCATTATGAATCGCATTTTCCATGTTGGTTAACACAACTCCAGGGTGAGTCCAGCCTCAAAGATGAGATATGGGGCAGGCAGATTCTAAGACGGTAAATACGGCAGCAACCATGGGGGCGTGGGAATGAGGCCGTCTGGTGGGCGAGTCAGGTACGGGTCAGGGTTAGGGTCAGGCACAGTGGAGGAGAACCATAGTCCAGGACAAACAACTGGCCCTTCACACCTCCTCATGCTGTGTGGCCTCGACCTTTACCTTCCCCTAATCTCCCCGTCCCTGGGACCCACCCAAGTGTAAGATTTCTGCTCATTTCAAAAAAGCAAGCAAGCAAGCCAACAGAAGGCCATTGGACAGTCATCCATGGACATATTAATATTCAGATGGTCTACCATCTGTGCCAGCCCTGTTGGTGTGGAAATGCGATTGACCTGAGACCTTGTCGATTCTACTATTAGAAGGTGCCTTTGCATATTTTTAAATTAATAAACTATGAAATACCTTCTGCCTATAGTGATTTAATTATACTTTGCCAAGAAAAGCGATTTTAAACTAGATCGACTTTTTTTTTTTTATGAGAAGCATTGCCATGAGGTAAATGAGGTAAAAATATTCAGTTTTGAAGGAAACAAAAATCCTTGTTGCAAAGCTAGCAAATCTAAAAGGAACGTCTACTGAAATTACCCGATTCTCATCAAGAATGTGAATCTGTGAATGTGACTCAGGGGAGAGTGGAAGCTTATTTAGGTCTCTTTCCAGTGTTCCCCAAATTCACCCCGTTTCTTCCTTGAGAATAATCCTTGGGTTCTGCAGAGACCTGAAGCAGCCCAGGTCTTGCCAGGGCTCAGATCTCTGCCCGGTGCTTGGGAATCACGGTGCTGGGTCTCCTCTTCCCCAGGGCCTGCAGTACATGGAGCTCATCCCCAAGGAGAAGCAGCCAGTGACGGGCACCGAGGGCGCCTACTACCGCCGGCGTCAGCTCTTGCGTCAGCTCCCTATCTACGACCAGGACCCCTCTCGCTGCCGCGGACTTTTGGAGAACGAGGTGAAGGTGATGGAGGAGTTTGTGAAGCAGTATAAGAGCGAGGCCCTGGGTGTGGGCGAAGTGGCCCTTCCCGGGCAGGGCGGCTTGCCCAAGGAGGAGGGGAAGCAGCAGGAGAAGCCCGAGGGCGCAGAGACGGCCGCCCCAACTACCAACGGCAGCATCAGCGACCCGTCCAAGGAACACGTAAGTCTCTCCCATCCATCCATCCATCCATCCATCGGGTCTGGCTGAAACCGCCCAGGCCAGGGCTGCAGGGTCAGGTCCCCAGCCCCAGGCTCTGTTCCCTCATTCCTGCCTTCATTCGTGGTCATGGTCCAGGAGAGGTCACAGACAAGCAAACCGTTGCAGTGCGGAGAAAGGGCATCTGTCCTTGCTTGGGGGTGAGGGTAGGCTTGGGGGAGAGGTGAGGCCCACGCTGGCCTTGGAAGAATAATTAAGAGTGCCCCAGGCCTTCGGGCTCTTCGGGGAAGACCTGTGTTGCCTTAAAGAGGTGATCATGTGCAAAAAAAGGTGAAAGTCTCAGACAGCACAGCACAGAGGACTGAATGAAGTCCCAGGTGGCTGGAAGTGTGGTACCAGGGTGCAGGGGGGCCCAAGGCTGGCGAGGTCGGCAGGGGCACGCTTCCGGAAGGGCACGCCCTCCGTCCATCCATCACTCAAGCATTGATTGGCCTGTACTGTCCGCCGAGCCCCAGGAAATCTAACAAGCAGAGGACACTGTCCCCGTATTGGGATGCTATAGATTTAGGACTTTACTCCAAGGGCCGTAGGGAGAGGTGGCGGGCTTGAGATTCGGGCCACGTGGGGCTGTTTTCTAACTTTCATGGGCCCCCAACCCCTATCAGCCAAGAGGCTTCATGCTTCTATGTGACATTTGGAGATAAAAGTCCCAATATATAGGGTCCTCAAGCAAACCACCTGCCTTGCTGGGAACAGGCTAGCCGTCACCCACGTGAGCCAGACACCCGAGGGAAATGCCAGCCCGAACGATGCTGTCAGTACGTCCAGAAGGGGCCGGGTCTTTCTTCTCTGTAGTGACTCACACTTGTTATTCAAAACCTGCGTCCTGCATCTCCCACCCCCGCCCCCGGGCCCATTCATTTGGGATTGCCATCCAACGCAAAGAACAAGGAGACAAAAAGACAAAAGAATGAAATTGATTTTCACTAGCACAAATTGGTGATGGTCTTGAAAAGACCCATTTCTCAGGAAGAATTCACATGCCAGGAACTTCTGAAAACATTAGATCCAGTTACCATGTTTCATAAACTAGCCTCGTCCCCAGCCCTGCCTTCTATCCACCCTCCAGCAGCCATCGATCTTTAACACATTAGTACTGCGTAATTCCAGGCTGGAACGCAACGTCTTTAAGTCTGTGACGTTTCCCAGTTGCCATTCCCAAGAGAGAAATGCTGATCTGAGAACGTATTTTATCCTGGACTCAGCCCACGGGTTTGGACAGTGTGGAAGTGGGGCAGACGCGGCCTGAGATCCCAGGGCCTTGGCAACAGTCAACTTTAGGAAATGGCTGTGACACTTCGGAAGCATTTAAACAAGACCAGGCAGTAAATAGGGAATGCGAAGGAAGCCGATATTGGTGGGTCGGGCTGGCTGGGAAGACAGACTTTTCCTTCCTGACCCTAACCCCAATCTTAATTAGGTAACAAATTATGTCATTAGTAGACTCACGTCCATCACCCCCTCTAAGTGCTGAGGTCCTGTCTTGTCCATCTCTGTATCTGCAGCAGCAGTCATCAATATAATATAGAGAATAGGTGCTTGATAAATATGCGATCCATGAATGACTGAACAAGAGAATGAATGAATGAATGTTCAAGCTAAATTTTGTTTTCGTTTTTGTCTGCGTCCGGTCTCAGTTGCAGCACGCAGGATCCTTCGTTGTGGCGTGCAGGCTTCTCTTTAGTTGTGGCACGTGGGCTCTGTAGTTGCGGCACGCGGGCTTTCTAGTTGTGGTGCGCAGGCTCAGTAGTTGTGGCGCACAGGCTTAGTTACCCCGCAGCATGTGGGCTTTTAGTTCCCCAACCAGGGATCAAACCGGCGTCCCCTGCATTGCAAGACGGATTCTCAACCACTGGACCACCAGGGAAGTCCCATGTTCGAACTAAACTGATCCTCAAAAGATGGGGACCACTTGGGTGGCCATTTTGCCTGAAAGGACGATGAGATTTCAAGTTCACATGCCTTAAGCACCTGCTGTGTGCCACGTGCTATGCTCAGTACTTCCAGGTCTTGGATTAATTCGAACTGTTACCTGGTAGGTGGATTTCACCAGCCCCATTTTACAGGTGAGCAGTCAGAGATTCACAGAAGAATGGTGGCTTGTCAGAGGCTCCATCGTTTCTAAAGGGCAGAAGCTGGATCATCATACTCTTTCTACTGCGTGATGCTGAGTTATAAAACCCTACTTGTTATCTGTATTTAACTCCCTGTTTATCTCCTTGAAGCCGGGGAGCAGATTCTATTAAGGTAGCTAAGTAGCCTGCCAGGCCATAGATGGCTTGTCCCCGGCAGCCCTGCCATTGGGCCTGACTGTGGGCTCGCTGCCTGAACTGCTCTGCTCTACCCCAGGGGGCGGCATATCAAAGGGACATGGGCGCTGGCTGTCCTGTGTGCTGGGCTCCTCTTGTTCTCATAAAAGGGCAGGTAGGACAGTTACCACAGACAAGCATCAGGCACGAAGCCTGACTTTTGCTCCCCTGACGAGGGCCACAAACTTTGCTAGAAGCAGTCAGGGCATTCAACTTGAGAACCCAGGTACAGGGAGGAAGCATAGGACTGACACCCCAAATCAAACAGTGATTTATGAAAGAAAAGGCGGCAAAAAGAAGGACATGTGAAATGTATCACACTGGAGCTACGATGGTAACATATCACACTTTATCATCCTAATGGTGACGTTATTACTGTTGTTAGCGGCTACCATTTAGCGGGCTTTCTCTGGACCGAGGACAGAGCTAAGCAGGAGGGTATCTGATGTAAAGCTCCCAACCGCCCAAGGGAGGCTATAGGATTCGAACCAACTCAGCCCCCAAACCCCTCTTTCCTGTTTCCCAAAGCTTATTCCTAGAAAGCTCATGGCCATGAAGCTATAAACGGGCCATGTGGCCATGTAAAGGGGACATCAGACTAAACAAAACAAAATGGGTTTCTTTAGGGCTGGACTTCTCAGAGCCTTTAGGAGGCCACAGCAGTGGTTCTCAGACTAGAGTCAGCTGGAAGCCGGCTAAAATCCAGAGGCCTGGGTCCCACCCCAGACTTGTTGGTGCAGGTGGAGGCTGAGAATCTGAATTCCTAACGAGTCTCCAGGTTGATGCCAACGCTGGGGGCCACACTTTGAGATCCACTGCTAAAGAGGGTTAAAAATGACCTTACATTTAAGCTCAGCCAAAATGATACTGCCGATCTGGTATACAGGGAGGGTCCAAGAGATGCTAACGGGGGCATTTTCTAGATTTATGTGGCCCCCTGGCTTAGGGTGTCCGGCTTTGAGAACACTGCACAGCACTCCTGAATTCCTTGAACTCTCCACGAGGAGTGGTGGAAGCACAGGCACAGAGCGTAGCCCCCTGCTCTATACCCGCCCCGAATGCCCCTCCTAGAGCGTACTACACTCTACACTTGGCAGCCGGAGGCCACGAGCCCTGCTTTCTCTGAGCTGCCGGTAGCCTACACCCCACGGCGGTTCTCCCAGGAGCTCGCTCGGCTCTGTCCTGCTGCTGGGCGGCCTGTTACAGTCGTGGCCCTTCCTCGGAGACCCTGGCTGCCAAGTCCTCCCCCCAACCCCAGGCCCCTCCACCAGACTGTCCAGACCAGAGGAGCATTATCGCCAAAAGGCTTTTCCAAGTCGCCTGTGTGGAATCCCCACCCACGGGCTGAGCGCTGGGTGAAGCCGGAGGGCGGTGGGCCAGCTGGGTGACGGGAGCAGCGCCCTCTGAGCCGACCCATCCTCATGGCCGGGACTCTTCACTTACTCGGATCTGAGTAAGGCCCTCCGCCAGGCCTTCCCACGGGCCCCGTGACAGGACGGGCAACCTGAAATCAGCCGTGGCACGTCTGGGAATGAACCCCAAAGCTGCGGCCGCCCATGCCGACCTCAGGGCAGGTCCCTGCAAGTGTCATCCTGACCCTGAGCTCAGGAGAGGCAGTGGCATGGCAAGTGCCCTGAGAGTCATCCCTCTTCATGAGGAAACGCCACGGCACAAAAATCCCAGATACTAACCAACCGCTGTCACTCCCAAAGCAGGCCCTTTAAATCAGTGAGGCCAAGTAAAAACACCCCAATATTTAGCCTCTTTCCCTGATTTGGCCCTCTGTGTGTGCGTGGAGCGGCGAGGGTGGTGGGGAATTGTTACCTCACAGCAGGCTCGTTCATCTCTTTGAATCCTCCGAACGACCGGCAAGACAGCTTGGGGTCGTTATGCCCATTTCACAGACGTGGAGCCTGAGGCACAGAGAGGTTAACTGGTTTGCCAGTGAGGTTCCAGCCCAGGTCTTTCCGCGGGGTCCCAGCAGGGTGGGGACAAAGCAAGGGCACGTGCATTTATGTTTGCTGGGGTGGGTGGCAGTGTGCAGAGTTACTCCCAGCCCAGCCTGGTGAAGAACTTGAGGGCCTCTTGTCTGCGAGCCAAGAACAAGGGAAGGACGTGCCTGCCCCGCCCCAGTCCCACCCACCATGGGTTCTCAGGGGTCTTGGGGGCTTCGAAGTGTTCCGTGGCCGTGGAGCTGCCCACCCCAGCAGCCCAGACCATTCCACAGCAGCACGGCGGGGCCCCATATCTGCTTTCCAGGCCCCCACTCACGACCTCTCCCACCTGGATGGATCCTACGGACACTGGACCTCAATGCTCGGACGGTGAACAGCTCTACCAGACCATTTCCCTGCGTTTAGAAAGTTTACTGGATATTTTCTCCGAAATTAAATATACCAATTTCCTGGGCATGGTCATCCTGCCCAGGAATTTCCGCCCTTCCCTACACCCCAAACTTGTAACCGAAGAAAGACGAAAGAAAGCCAGGACACAGCATTTAATGTCATCTCCGCCCTTTCGTAGTTTTCATCCCTGCCGGGAGACCCCAGCTCCTGCCTCATGGGCCAAGCCGTGGCCCCAGAGAAAGTGATTAAAAGGAGAACAGACTGAAAGAAGTGAAGACGTTGCTGGAAG